GCAAGCCCTCGTTTCTTAAAAAAAAAAAAAAATAAAAAAAATTAGCCGATTAGCAGGGCTGGGTGGTACACTGCTACTTGGGAGACTGAGATGAGAGGATCGCTTAAGCCCAAGAGTTTGAGGCTGGGTGAACCAGGATCATGCCACTGCACTCCAGCCTGGGTAACAGAGGGAGGTCCTGTCACAAACCAACCAACCAACCAACCAACCAACCGACCGACCGACCGACTGACCAACCAACCAAAAAGTATCATGAACACCTGTATTTCTACCATCTAGAGTCAACAGTTGTGCATATATATGTATACATACACATTTTTTTTTTTTTGGCTTTAAACAACAGATGTTTGTTTTCTCATGATTCTGGAGGCTGGAACTCTAAGATCAAGGTGCCAGTAGAGGTGATTGTGGCCTCTCTCCTTAGCTTGCAGACAGTTAGACAGCTGCTTTCTTGCTGTGTCCTCCTCATGTGGCCTTTTCTTGGTGCACAGGCATGCCGTGTCTTCCTCTTCTTAAAAGGCCAAGGACGCCACCTTAAAGGTTTCCTTTAACATTAGTTTCTTTTTTAAAGGCCCTATTTTACAGGTACAGTCACATTCTAAGGTACTGGGCTTATATGAATTCTGGCGGAGAGTGGGGGCATACAATTTAGTTCAGAACCTGCATCTAACAAAGGACTTCTTTCTAGTATGTATTAAGAACTATTTAGCACCAATAAGAAAAAGAAAGAAAATCCATCAGAAAAGTAGGCATAAGAATTTAACAGCACTTTATAAATGAGGATGTTTGGAGGCCATCAACATATGAAGAGGTGCTGAACGTTATTAATCAGTGAAATGGAAATTTAAATAACAAGAAACCCTATACCCATGCTATAATGGTTACACAGTGACAATACCAAGAGTTGACAAAAACGTTGGTCTACTGAAAATCTTATACACTGCTGGCAAGAGATTGAATTAGTACAATCATTTTTGAAGACTGGTAATATAAACTGTGATTAAACATGAGGATAACCAAAGACTCCACAATTCTGCCTTTAGGTGTATACCCAATTGTACACACTTTTTTTTGGGATGAGCTATTTGAAAGAAAGTTACAGATTTTGTACTACTTCACCAATAAATACTTCAGCACATATCTTCTAATAAGAATATTCTTTTACATTATCACAATATCATAATCATGCTTAAATAAATTAACAATAATTTCTTAATGTTATCTAACATGTAGTTATATTCAAATTCCTCCAGTTGTCCTAAGATCTTTTCTATACCTGTTTGTTTTTGGCACCAACATCCAGTTAAGACACTAAATTTTAAGAGGCAGCAATACTGGATGAATCTTTGAGCTCAGATTAGTTCTGTGTTAAGATACAGGTATGGTTACTTTAACAAAGAATCAATTTAATGACGGTATAAATAAGGAGGATGTTTATTTCTGTATATTTATTCTGGAGATAAAGTAGTCCAGGGTGGTAGGGAGGCTCTGTTGTCCTCAGTATTTGACTTTTCTCTCTGAGGCCAAGGCAACTGCTCCAGCCCTACCTTCATGCTATAAAGAGGGCAGAAGAGTGCATACTTGGTCCTTTTAAGGACATGTTGGAAGTTATACTTTAAGGGCATGTCTGGAAGATAACCTCTGCTCCTATCTCATGACAAGAACCTAACCATATAATGGATGTGTAAATGGAGGACTGCGTGTGTAGGCTTTATTTTGGATAGCTATGTGTTTCATGATAGTTTATGATTCTAGTACTAAAGAAAAAATGGCTATTGGGCTTGGGAGCAATTAGCATCTCTGCCACCAGTTCTTTTTGCAAATAACTGAGCGATACCAAACTATATTTAATGCACCGAATAACTCCTGATACTGTATATTATAATATGACATTTTTCTTTTTGAGATACATAAGGCTAATATTTGCTCTTATTCTGAGCCCAGACTGATTTTAAAAAAATTATTTAATATATAGTTTATAGCTGTTCTGTTTTTTCCTTTTTGTTATGGCATTAGCTGTTGCTGCTCACAGCTGATGGTATCTTCACCCCTTTTCTAGCTTGCTGCTTTATTTTTTCTGGGCTGAGGAAGCAGATAATAATAACCATCATAATAATGCTGTAATTTGCTATTGTCCTATATGTGCTGTACAGTGTTTAGGACTTAGACATTTTATTTCTAACTTTGGAACTCTTTCCCCCCCCAACTTTATTGAGCTATAATTGACAAATAAAATTTGTTTATATATTCCAGGTGTACAGAGTGATGTTTTGATATTCATATGCATTGTGAAGTGATTATCGTAATCAAGCTAATTAACATATCACTCTCTTCTAATAGTTATTTTTTGTGGTGAAAACAGTAAGATCTACTCCCTTAGCAAATTTCTTTTTTTTTTTTTTTTTTTTTGAGTTGGAGTCTCACTCTGTCGCCCAGACTGGAGTGCAGTGGCCGCTCCTGGCCACTGCAGCCTCAACCTGCTGGGCTCCGGCGATCCTCCCGCCTCAGCCTTCCAAGTAGCCGGAATTACAGGTGTGCGCTACCACGCCCGGCTGATTTTTTTTGATTTATTGTAGAGATGAGGTCTCGCTGCCCAGGCGGGGCTTGAACCCACGGGCTCAGGCAGTCCACTCACCTCAGACTCCCAAAGGTACGGGATTACAGGCTGAGCCACCGAGCCCGGCAGAGCAAATTTCAAGTGTACAATATATTGTTATTCACTATAGTCATCATGCTCTGCTTTAGGTCTCCAGAGCTGACTCATAAGTGCAAGTTTATATCCTTGACCAACATTTCCTCATTTCCCCATCCCCTGACCCTGGTAACCACCCTTCTACTCTCTGTTTCTATGAATTTAGCTTTAGATTCCACATGCAAGTGAGATCATGCGGTAATTGTCTTTTTGTGTTTAGCTTGTTTTATTTAACATGATGTTCTCTAGGTTTATCCATGTTGTTGTGAATGGCAGGATTTCCTTCTTTTTTTCCTGATGTGTGGAGTGTGGCTTTGATTTACATTTCCTTTATAATTAATGATGTAGAGCATCTTTTCATATACCTGCTGTTCATTTATATGTCTTCTTTGGAAAAATGTGTTTCAAGTCCTCTGCCCATTTTTAAGTTGGCTTATTTTTTTTTGGGGGGGGCTATTGAATTATGTGACTTTCTCATATATTTTTGAGACTAATCCCTTATCAGATATATGGTTTGCAAATATTTTCTCCCATTCTGTGTGTTGCCTTTTCATTTTGTTGATTGTTTTCTTTGCTGTGCAGAAAAATTTTAGTTTGATGTAGTCCCTACTTTTTTTCCTTTTCTGCTTTTGTTGCCTGTGCTTTTAGTGAACTATCCAAGAAATCATTGCCAAGACAAATGTGATAAAGCTTTTCCCATATGTTTTCTTCTGGGAGTTTTATAGTTGCAGATCTTAGGTTTAAATCTTTAATCTACTTTGAGTGGATTTTTGTGTATGGTGTAAGATAAGGATCCAATTTCATTTTTTTTTTCTTTTTACATGTGGATATCCAGTTTTCCCAGCACTATTTATTAAAGAGACTATCTTTTCTCCATTGTGTATTCTTGGCGCCTTTGCTGAAGATTAGTTGATAACTTTGGAGCACTTATACAAATATATGCATTTTAAAATACAAATGAGGAGGCGGTAGCTGCAGGAATATCAGTATCTTGTTTATAAAAACTACAGTTATTAGTACCATAGTTAAAATGAGAATTAGTGCCCTGATTGAGACCTGGGAATCCTCCCTGTAAAAAGTTTGCCTGATTTTCATTACAACTTGCAGCATCCATTTTGAGTACTTAGAGACATTTTTATACTTATCTTTGCTGGGTGGGTGCAGATAGGTGGAATCGCCAAAGAGTTCGACGAGATACTCTTTGTCTGAATGTGTCTCTATCATATACTTGTACAGTATGCCCACACATATAGCATGCATATGAACTCACATCTTTTTTGGAAACCTTTAATAGCATAGTGGGTAAGGATTAGATTAAAAAATAGAACTTAAAACAGTAACTATAGAACCTACCATGCATCCTTAGTCAGATACAATAAGAATGTCATTTATTTCTATGCAATTTGATGTCTTTTTGTGTAAGGTCACTCTTTGAAATTTAAGTATACTGTTTAAGCTTGTCATTGATATCCAAGGTATTACAGTTACTGTAGGACTTATTGTATATAGTAAGTATGGGCTACAGATGACAAATTAGAGGAGTGACCTTTTATTTATTTCCTTAACAAGTACACTAGTTTTTCTCTGACATAGTTTTTCCTTATATAATACATTATAAAGTGCTCTAATCACACCAGCAGAATGTGAAAAGTTATAGCTACTAGATCTTTCTCAGATTCGGGATACTATACTGTATTATAGAAATCATTATGATCATCTCAGATCATCATTTATATTTTAAGAACTCTGAATATTGTACTTAATATTGATAGACTGATAGTAGAAGACATTCCCAAAATTAGTCTGTAGTTTAGGGCAGTTAGGGATTAATATTTTTCACTCCTAAATTGTCACTTAATACTGATTTATATAATACTGGTACCTAAAACATGCCTGTGAATTTGATCTGTTGAGTTAGATTAATGTCCAAGTCATTTGAAAGTATGAGACTGACATACTATGAAGATGAGAAGAACAGTTTTGTTATTTTTGGATTTGAAAAAAATATGAAGTTTTACAAAGAATCATGATTATTGTCAAGGATTATCTTGAACAAGGAGATTATAGCATCTGGTAAATAAAAATAAATATGCTTGAAATTATAGATTCTGAATAATTTAAAAATTGAGAAATGTATGTATATTGATATAAATAACCTGATAGCTTTGCTGTTTCTTAATTTAAACCAGCCATTTTACCCCTTGGGGAAAAATTAACTATGACATATCTGTAGTATAGATAGTGATAAATAAAACAATTATATTTATAAAAGAAATAAGTCATCTAATTTGCTCTAATTCTTCTTTAGGTCGAGATTTAATTTGTATCCAGTCTATGGATGGGATGCTGATGGTGTTTGAGCAGGAAAGCTATGCTTTTGGGAGATTTCTCCCCGGTTCTCTTCTGCCTGGCCCCCTTGCTTACAGTTCCCGCACAGATTCCTTTATTACTGTCTCTTCCTGCCGACAGGTGGAAAGTTATAAGTAAGTCTGGATGTTGAATCTTTGGAATCATGATGTTTTGGTGTACTTGTTGCTGATTAATTCTTTTTCACAGGGAGTTTGAATATTACAAATGAAAGAGAGACTGGTTTCTTTGATAAAATGTAATTGTGATAATTTAGAGCATGTCATTTGCTATTGTAAATATTTGAATGGCAGTAAGTGTAGTAATGTGAAAGAAAGAGGCAGACCTGAGTTGGAATCCTGATTTTGCTACTCACAGCTGTTTGATGGTCGTTGTCCTTACCCTGACTCTAAAGGACATAAAACTGCTCATTTTGGCAAGTTCGTTATAAGGATTAAGTGTATGTCAAGTTGCCACCCCATAGAAAAATGCTCAATAATTAAGGTGACTGTTCCTTGATATAATAAATAATAAAACACAATGTTGAGTGAAAAAAGGCAAAGCAAAACTGCATCTGTAGAATGGTTTTATAACAAAAAAAGAATGCATGTGACATAGGAAAACACTGGCACAAACTATTAACTATAGTTATCAATGTTAACCTTGTTTTGAAGTCATAATTCATTGTAGATATGAAGTATGAAAATGACCTACGAATGCAGTTAAGACTTTTTGCTGGAAATTCTTATAGATTTTGGTGAATTGTGTATGAGAGAGATTGTTTTCCATCAGCTAGATTTCAGTGAAAGTCAAGGTTTTTTAGTTTTTGGAGAGATTATTTCTTTTCTTTTTCTTTTTTTCAAGTCAGGGTCTCACCCTATCGCCCAGGCTGGAGTGCAGTGGCACAATCATGGCTCACCAAAGCCTCAGCCTCCTGGGCTCAGGCAATCCTTCTGCCTCAGCTTCCTGAGTAGCTGGGGCTACAGGTACCTACCACCATACCTGGCTAACTTTTTGATTTTTTTTTTGTAGAGACAAGGTCTCAAGCAATCCTCTCACCTTGGCCTTTCAAAATGCTGGGATTATAGGCATGAGATACTGCGTAGTATTTCTTGTTTAAAAGATGATCTCAGTTGCTCAGACTGGAGTACAGTGCCACAGTCTTGGCTCATTGCAGCCTGGGATTTCTGGGCTCAAGTAATTCTTCCACCCTAGCCTCCCAAGTAGCTAAGATGCAGGACTGCACCATCAAGCCCATACTAACTTTATAATTTTTTTGGTAAAAGCATTTTAAAAAAATTTTTTGTAGAGATGAGGTCTCGCCAAGTTGCACAGGGTGGTCTTGAATCTGTAGGCTAAGGTAGTCCTCTCACCTCTGACTCCCAAAATGTTAGGATTATAGGCATGAGCCACCATGCCCAACCTGTAAAAACATTTTAATTAAAACAATTTTTGTAATGGGGAATCTCGCTATATTGTCCAGGCTGGTCTTAAACTCCTGGCCTCAAGTAATCCTCCTGCCTAGGTCTTCCAAAATGCTAAGATTACAGATGTGAGCCATCACACCCAGCTGAACAGTGTGTTTTTTTGTTGACAGAGAAAATGGAGAAAAGAACGTAGAAATCTGTGCTGGGAAAAATCAGCTTGAAGGGTTTCAGTATCTTCAGTACCTTCATTGTTCTATCTTACTGATGACAATATTTAGGACTTTAAACATCTAAGCAACACATCTTGGTAACTTTTCAGCATTATTTTTGGCCACATCATTTTTCCCAAGGTGGGAAGAAAATATAAATCTGTCAGGCAACAGCTGTAAATTTTTGTCTTCAAGTTTCAATATTGTGTATGTAGCAAGATAATGCAGTTTTCCCTTCATAAGTGGCCATCTTCCTTTTGTGAATGATTGTCAAGGCATCTATGGTTTCAAACTCTGAAAATAAGTGAATGTTTGTGACTAAGTAGAAGTTAACTTATGGAGGTAGTGTATTAGCATGTCATGTTCCTTCTAGAAGTCCCATGGCTCTTGTCCAAAGGAGATGAATGAATTGTAGCATTGCTACTGGTAATAATAAAACATTATACTTATTTTGAGAGATTGAGAAAAATATCTATATAATTTACTCAAGCCTGACAAAACTTAAGCAATATTGAGGAGATCTGCTTTATAGCTCTCCACCCAGTTCTGTACCTCACCTCCTGCCAAGTAGTGCTGGGCTAGGAGTACAATACAAAGATTTGAATACTCAATTACTGATTCTTGGAAAACGTGCATAGGAATTAATTTGTTAATAACTCTAGGCGTGATTGGATGAGGAAACAATGTATAGCTTCCATTAATGTGTGTGTTTAATCTCACAGAAGCTCACATTGTTTTAACTCTGGTGATTCTCCAACATACCAATTTATTAAATTCATTGTCATCTGGAACTAAAAAAATGCCTACTTTATCCACTATGTGAATCTTTTATAATGGTAAAAAGGCATGAGATATGTGATTATTGTGAAATGATGACAATCAAGAGGGTTTATGACATTAAGTAGTGTGTTATAGTTTTATATGCTTTCAAGTTTAATAAATTATATTAAATAATAATCACTGGTGCAATTTAAAATGGGAGAAAGCATGAAAACTATAGTTTTGTTCTTTTGAAGCTTCATTAAATCTGTCTATTTTAAGTTAATAGAATATAATCAGTTAATAGAATAGGCTTTTAAGACATAATTTATTTTCATTTTTATATTGATACTTAATTACTTTAAGCCCTGCTCAATTATGTTCAAATAAGAACTAGTGAAGGCTATGAGTTTCAAACTTCAGTGTGCATAGGAATCACCTGGGCAGCCTGTTGCAAATGCACATTTGCAGATCCTAGTTCCCAATCCTCTAGATTTTGATTTAATAGCTTTTGGGATAAGACCCAGAAATTATCATTGTAAACGCATACGCCAGATGATTCTAATTCAGGGGCATACTTTGTTGTTTTACTTTTGAAGTGAGAGAATTCTTTGCCCTTTTTTGGGGATGAGAGGAAGAGCTTTGGTATTATCATTCTCTGGACCATGTGTCCCAAACTTTGGATTATCTTTTACTCTCTCTTCCTTTCTTTTGCCTCTCAGAATTATTTAATCAGCAAATCCTGCCCTTTCTACTGTTAATTCTTTTATTCAGTCCTTGCTTCCCATTCTCATTGGTTTAGGACTTTATCTTTTCACTTGGATTTCTGTTTTTATTTATTTACTTAACCTCTAATTTAAACTGTAAAGTGTCCTTCTCATATCTATCCTTTTAAAACACCTCTTTAAGACAGAATAATTTTAACTTCTCACTAAAAAAATCTAGACTTTCTTATATTGACATTTAGTCCTTTGTATAATCCAGTTCCATTTTACCACTATGATGTGGACTTTCAGATTTGGAAGGGACTTCTAAAATGTAACTGGTTCAATTGTCCTCCTTCACTTCCTTGATGTAGTATTGCCTTAAACAGTGATTTTTACCCAGTATCTTATATTACCTTCTTGAATTGTACTGACATGTTCCACTGTATGTCTCGCATTATATAGGTAGAATGTCTTAAACATCTGCTCGCTGACTGGTGATTCAGTTCTTTTATCCAGTCATTAATTCAGCATATATTTTTCAAGAGGCTTCTCTGTGTCATACACTGTGCAAGGTACTGGAGATGCAGTCAAACAAGACCTGTCTCTTATCTTCAAACAGTATTTAAGCAGATGTAGGCGGCAGCAAGTCAGTGAGCTACTTCGGTCCATTGTCATATAGGCTACAGCAGAGCTTTGGACAGGGTGTCAAGGAGGCCTCTAGGTGGGACCTCTAAACAGGAGTCAAATGCAGGGAGGCTCCCTAAAGGAGTATATTTGCCATGAGTTTTATTTTTTCTCCTTCTTCATTCTGTACACTTCCTCTAGCACCCTTGCAGTAGCTTTTAATATATTGCCACATAAATAATAGGCTTTAAATAAGTATTTAAAAATGTGTTTGTAGAATTTTAATTGACTTTTTTTTCGTCAGGGTCTCTCTGTCACCCAGGCTGCAGTGCAGTGGCATGATCACTGTGATCATGATGATCATAGCTCATGGTAGCCTCAACCTCCTGGGCTCAGGCAATGCTTCCACCTCGGAATCCCAAGTAGCTGGGTCTACAGGTGTGTGTCATCATGCCTGGTTAACTTAAAAAAAATTTTTTTTAGAGTTCTCTAGGTTACACATCAAGGTTCCAAAATCTCCTGGCACCCTTTGAGATGACAGTTATGTTTCATTTGAAAATAAATGATTTTTAAGTGTTTACTTTTATACTCTATGACACCTCAACCTATACTTTAGTTACTTGCTGCTGTTTTTATGATGTGATATGGAAGAGCACTAAATTATATGGTTGAGTTTGTTATTGAAGCACTAGCCTATTAAGCATTTGTGGCTCGTGGTTCAAAAAGCACTACTGTTTACCTGGATTGCTGTATTTGTGATTAGTGCCTTTCTGTCCTGAGAAACACATGTGACATTTTCTTTCATAAAATCTTGTTACATTGGGCTTGATTATTCTTTCAGCAGTCTCAACATTTTATTCTTTAGCTTATATCACTTGAGCACATAATGGTAAGAAAAAAAGATCCAAGTGTTTTCTTTATTTCAGAATTTCTAAGTCTGCTTGGAGTTGTTTGGTTTTGGAAATAGATTTTTATGCACATTATTGGTCACAACTAAGAGAAGTTAAGGAAGAACCATAAAGGATGCTGTTGTAAGTTTGTCATCATCTAACTTTACTGTCAGTTATGTTTAAGTAATAAAATACTCTTCTGAGTTGTCTTCCAGGAAGAGAGATGGTCTGGATTTGGAAATCAGTAGTCAATTTTGACTGTGTCTTTGCCTGCTGTTTTAAATGTTAATGAGGCTACTTTAGGGGCTCATTTATTCCTCAGAGGAAATAATACCTCGTAGTTATATAAGAATCTTCACACAGCTCAAGGAACTTTGAATTTTTGCAACATTAATTTTAATGTCTGTATCATCTTCTGGTAGGTTGATGTCTGCAGGAAATGAACCACCTATGTAATTAATTGCTTGAGGTTAGATCCATAGCCGGATCAACTCTGTGGTGATAATCTAGTCACCAGGGTATACTATTGCTGTTATGATAAACTGGGATAGGAAAGGAATTCTGTTTGAAGGTAAAAAAGTGAGGTCCAATTATTTGATACTTTTGGAGGATTTTGGATTGAAGACCAGTCTCAGATGGTGTAGAGAGATTTGCTGCAGCCGCCATGGAGTTTTTTAGCATGCTTTTACAAGTGCGAGATCTTTTGCTTCCTGTCTTATGAGCACCATGACTCATTCCTCCTTGCCATACGTCCCTCCTAACTCCTGTCATGGCCTTTCATGTCTCTTTTACCAGTGCATGCCTTTTCATGCATTATTGTTTTGCCATAATGCTTTATCTCTCTTTACCAGTTGGATGGAATTTTCACTCATTTTTTAAAAACCTAGCTTTCTCTTCCTGAGCCTATACGGAGAGTACCTCTTTTCTAGCCCAGTTTTTTGTTTCTGCCACCATGTTCTACTGGTATTGTATGCATACCTTCTATTAATTAGCACAGGATATTCTGAGTTATGCTTAGTTGTCTGTTTTTGAATCTCCACAACTAGAACAGGAACTCCTTATGAGTAGAGATCACATAGTAGTTTTTTCCATTGTTCATGTTGTATTAGATCCCTACAATGTTTATGGAATAAATGAAATTCAGATATAGTAAATTTTCATGTTAACTATAAGACTGATTTCTTAATAGGCGGTTGTAAGTTTGTTATCAGCTTCTATGTCTTGTAAAGTCTGTCTTTTAATTCATAGTCTTTCTGCATCCAACTGAGGTGGAGGTTTTTTACAAATAAGTTATTTCTGATTGAAATAGAATATTTGCAAAGTTGGTATATGACATTTAAATGCCACTGTACATTTCAGTGCTTTTTTGGTTATTTAACATTCCCTTCATTCATTCAAGTCCCTGATTTTTACACCCTCAGACATCTTTCTCTTGGACAACATGAGGTGTCTGAATATATCTATTTTTAATGTTTTATCTTAGCTATAGTGGAACAATGCAAAGAGTTTTGATTCAATATGAGGAAAAGAATCTGTGAGCCTTAGGTTCTTCATTTAGAGTATAATTATGTTTTATTTTATTTTATTTTAGAATTGTGGGGTACATGTGAGCATTTACTACCTAAGTAAATTGCATGCAGGTGAGGTTTGGGCTTCTGGTGAGCCCTTCGAGTAGGATTATTCTAAAAGTATACCATTAAATAATGGAAAGTATAGACTTTCAACTTTATTAGCTAAATTAATCATTAGTAGATTTAATTATATTTATAAATTATTTTTAAGAATGATTTGAGCTAAATGTCACTACTGAAATAGAAGGTGTAAAATAGAAGGTCATAATATCTGTTATTGAGAAATCATGCATATCAAATGAGCTAATAGGTGATTGATTTCTATATATGTATAAATCTGTATCTGTTGCTTTGCCTATTAACTCTTCAATAATTGTGCTCCTAATATATGTCAGATACTGTGCTAGACTATATATTGCAGCCTTGAATTCTTGGGCTCAAGTTATCTTCCCACCTCAGGCTCCCAAGTAACTGGAATTATAGGCATGCCACCATGCCTAGATAATTTAAAAAAATTTTTTAGAGATAAGGTCTTGCTATGTTGCCCAGGCTAGTCTCAAACACCTGACCTCAAGCGATTCTCCTACCTCAGTCTCTGAGTTGTTGAGATTACAGGTGTGAGCCACCATGCCTGGTTTATAATTTATTGTTTAATTGTTTGAGCAATGTGTGAATTAGAGATTATTATTTCCATTTTATAGATAGAAACTAGATACAGAATGATTAATTGCCAAAATCATTCAGCTTGTAAGTCGTTTAGCTGGCAATTAAACGAATTTCTTTCTGATTCCATAGATTATGCACTAATAACTTCTACTACAACTGACTGCTTTGCAGTATTTACATTTTTTCTCTTTGGTGTTTACGTATATTGTTTATTTGTACCTAAATTCAAATGGAAGTGCTTTGATATTTGGTAGAGCTGTTTTCCCAATATTGAATAATTGGGACATATAATTTCTTTATCATGACAGTTTTGCAAAATCTCATGTCACAGTACCACTCAATAAGGATTCAATTTTAAATTTTACAGTTTTTAAAACCAAGGAGAAATAATCTATAATGTTTATAAATCATGTGGTTTTAAAGCTTAAAATAATTTATACTTTTTAATTATAAAGTCACTTATAATTTTTCCATATCTTTCATACAGGTATGAAGTACTTGCTTTTGCAACAGATGCAGATAAAAGACAGGAGACTGAACAGCAAAAAGTTGGTTCTGGAAAAAGACTAGTCGTAAGGCCTTTTTAAAAATATGTAAACTTCAGTAATGCCATATCTAATCATAGATATTTGTTAAGAATAGAATTCCTGGGTAGAAAATTAAAAAAAAAATGTTTAAATATTTTAGCCACTTATTTTTCCTATGTTGTGATTATACAAATGATCTAAGGATTTAGTTTGTTGTTGTTGAGCAATAGAGACACATGCTTTGTCATGGCCATAATATATCATATTGTAGAGTTGTACCGCCAGAACTGTATATGTCCGGGTGGGGTTCACTTAAAAAAATTTTTGGACTCAAGGGATACATGTATGGGTTTGCTGCATGGGTATACTGTGTGATGGTGAGGTTTGGGCTTCTATTGAATGTGTCACTTAAGTGGTGAGCATGGTTCCCAATGGGTAATTTTTCAACCCAGGTTACCTTCCCTGCCTCTTTAAGAGTCCCCAGTGTCTGCTGTTCTCATCCTTAGGCTTGTGTTTAGCTCAGACAGGGTCACTTTTGACTTAGTGATTATAAACTCACAAAATAAAAAAGAGAACAATTTAAAAAATTTTCCTTCAATAGGCAAGTCTTTGTACATTTTGTTCCTCTATTTCCAGTTTCTTTTTTCTCTGACTGCTTTTCAAATTTTCCCTTATGATTTGTCTTGAGCAATTAGATTTTGAGGTGTAGTTTTCTTTCTCTTTTTTAAACTTCAGATTTGTTGACATCTTGCATCTGTGAATATGTCTTCATAAAATTTAAAAAATATTTTAGCCACTGGTTTTCCAAATATTTTGCACTTACAAGCATCTGATTAAATATATAAGTAAAAGATAATTTACAGCTCACAAAAATAGAATTCACTCAAAGACAAAGGTGGAAGTTTGATAATTTGACAAGTAGTTTGAAGAAAAATTGTAAATGATGAATTCTCCATTTAATGGAAATTGGGGAATAGATGGTGACTGTGAATTCTTCCTTATCTTTAGAACCTCCATAAACAGCAAGGCCAAAAATAGAAGGAACTGAAAAATATGATGAAACAGTGAAGTGAATTTGATGACATAGAAGAAACTGAATGAAGAAATATTGTAGAATTTAGGATTCTAACGAATTAAGAATATCAGAGAAGTCTATGCAGAATTAGGGTACAGAGGTTAAAGGAGATGACAGAAAGGAAGGTTAACTTGGAAACAGTGAAGAATGAGATAAAGATATATTTTTTGGTGGTGATAAAAGGTGAAAGATAGCAACCAATACAAATATGACATAGCTTTGCACAGAATTTAGAAACATCATAGTTAAAGCATAGACTTTGGAATCAGCTCTTGAGAACTCATCTTTTTGAACAAGTTTGAGAAAATTTTATTAACTTTACTGAATCTCAGTTTCCTCATTTGCAAAATTTTAATAGTAATCTATTTTACAGTGTTGTCAATAAATAATACATATAAAGTACTTAGCAAAATGTATGGATGATAAAGATGACTATGATAATGTCGATTGCATTGTCCCTGGATCTCCCCAATTGGGATTTTCTTCTGTTTGTTTCCTATAGTCTGTACTCCAGCCATATGGGGCTTCTCATTATTCCAAATGTTCCATGCTCTTCTTCATTCAAGTCTTTTGCATATGGTTTTTCTTCTATCTAGAATGTCTTTTCCTTATTCACTTGCAGTTACTTATTGGTACGTGTCTCACACTGAGGATATATTCTGAGGCAATTAATGTGTAGAGTAAGAAATAGCAATAAAACTTGCTTTTATTACGTGACCATTACTTGACAGGGTTGTAATACCATGGAACATTATTAAATCTATTGTAGAAGAAACAGAATTTACCCGATGGAATGCTTTTAATAAAATAGTTGTGGGAAGACAGTTAATAGCTTCTTATGTTACTGACAACTACCTTTTTAATATTTGCTGATTTCTAGTATAAGTCTGTTGTGGTCAGAAAAATATTTTGTATGACTTGAATTCTCTTAGATTAATTGAGATTTGTGTTATGGCCTAGAGTATGATCTATCTTGGTAAATGTTCAGTGTGCACCTGAAAAGAACGTGTATGTTTTGATGTTGTTAGATGGAATGTTCTATACAAGCCAATGAGATTAATAGTGTTCAACTCTTCTATATTCTTGTTTTTTTCTTTGTAAAGTAGTTTCTATCAGTTATTGGGAGTGGGATATTGACATCTCTGGTTGTGTTTGTGGATTTTTTTTTTCCTTTGGAAATTTATCAGTTTTTTGCTTTAGATATTTTGGAATTCTGTTTTTAGGTACATAAACATTTAAGATTGTTCTATGTCATGATGAGCTCATCCCCCTTTCATTATGAAATGACCTTCTACATCCTTTTGTTTGATAATGTACTTTACTCTGAAACCTACTTAATTTGTTGGTAACATAGCCACTATTGTCCAACTAATCTTTTGATTAGTGTTATTCTGTCATTTTTTTCTGTCTTTTTTACTTTGAATTTATTTGTGTCTTTATACGTAAAGTACATAATTTGTAGACAGCATATAGTTGAGTCTTGCTTTTATTATCCAGTGTGATATAGTCTGCCTTTTATTGTTCAAGACCATTTACTTTTCATCTGAATATTGATATGGTTAGGTTTAAGTCTGTCATCTGACCATTTGATTTCTGTTTGTCCCATCTGTTTTTGTTTCCTTTTTCCTTTTTCTTTTAGATTTATTTAAGATTTTATATGATTCCATTTTATCTCTGTTGCCTTATTAGCTATAACCCTTTGTGGTGTTATTTTAATGATTTCTTTAGGGTTTACAGTATTTCTCTTTAGCTTAGTACAGTCTACTTTCAGGTGCTATATTACTTTATGTATAGTAAAAGAGCCATGCTTCTGTTTCTCACCTTCCAGCTTTTGTGGTATTGTCATATATTTTACTTTTGCATATGCTACTAACTCTATATTATAATTATTTTTATTTAAAGTCAATTATATTTTAATGATATTTAAATGATAAGAAAAATATGATATATTTACCTTTGTAGTTATTTCTGGTATTCTTTAATTTTCATAGCACCATATTTCCATCTGGTGTCTTTCTTCTTCCTACTGAAGGAATTACTCTCACATTTCTGTTAGTGTGTCTCTGCTGGTGATGAATTTTTTTCAGTTTTTGTATGTATAAGAAAGTATTTTTGTCTTTGTGTTTGAAAATATTTTTGTTGGCCATAGAATTTTAGGTTGACACTTATTCTTTTTTAAATGAATAAGAGGTTGCTCCACTGTCTTCTTGCTCAAATTGTTTCTGAAAGGAAATTCGCTCTTGTTCTTACCTTTGTTTTTCTGTTCATGCCTTTTTTCTCTGGCTGCTATTTAGAGTTTTCTCGTATATAATGATTTATTTTGAGCAATTAGATTATGATGTATAATTTTATTTTTGTGCTTAGGTTTTGTTGAGCTTCTGTAAATTTGTAGTTTTTATAAAATTGAAAAAGTTTTGACCATTAATAATTTAAATAGCTTTTCTGTCCTTTCCTTTGGGGACTCCAGTTATACATATATTTAGGTTACTTGAAGTTGTCTCACAGCTCATAGATTTTCTTTTCATTAAACAGTTTTACTCACTATTTTATTTGGGTTAATTTTTATTGCTGCTATGTTTTCAAGATCACTAATCTTTTTCTGTAATGTCTAATCTGGTATTAATTTCCACTTGGGTATAGTTTTTATTTCTACAAATTCAATTTGAGTGTTTTTTATGTTTTTCATGTCTCTACTTAGCTTTTTGAAGATATACAATATAGTTATAATACTTGTTTTAAAATCTCTGTTTTTGGATTCTAACATCTGTATCAGTTTTTGGGTCCGTTTTAGTTGACTTATCTCTTCATTGTCAATTGTATTTTCATGGTTCTTTGCATAGTTGGTAATTTAAAACAATGTGTTTGATTCCAGATATACCTTATTTTACTTTGTTGGATGTTGATATTTTTGTATTTCTATAAATGTTCTTGAGGTTAGCCCTGGGTTGCAGTAAAGTTACTTGGAACCAGTTTGATCTTTTTTAGTCTTGTTTTTACGTCTTGTTAAGTGGGACAAGAGCAGTGCTCATTATAGGGGTACTTATTCCCTACTCCTCAGGCAAAACCCTTCTGAGTACTGTACCCAATTCACTCAGAATTATGAGGTTTTCCAGCCTGGCTGGTTAGCACGGGGATTATTTTATGCCCTGAGTGAATGTTGGGCACTGTTACCTGTAATTCTTTTAGGTGGTTCTTTCCTTGGCCTTGGATAGTTTCCTTACATAAATTTGCTGATAAGTACTCTGCTGAGTCTTTGAGGAGAACTCTTTGTAGGTCTCCGAGTACTGTCTATATGTGGTTTTCTCTGCTTTGTTATGTTGTCTTGTGAACTCTAACTGCCTTGGTTTCTCCAGACTCTGGACATCTATCTCCTCAGTTCCAGGAGTCTGCTGCACTCTGCCTAGGATCTCTTTTCCTGTGCCATGGCCTAAAAACTCTCAAGATTGGAGCAATTATACCACTTACCTCATTTGTTTTCTGTCCTTAAGGGATTACTGTCCTTTGTTGTCCAATGGCCAGTGCCTTGCAGATTATTGTTTCATATATTTTTGTCCATTTTGTGGTTGTTTTAGGTGGGATGGTAAATCCTTTCCCTATTACTCCATCTTTTCTGGAAGTGGAGGAATTTTTTCTTATTGTTCTTAGCAAACTTCTGTATTTTATGAGACTCATTAATTCAAAATGTGGTGTATTTCCCTGAGGGTAGGTCACAGAGAGCAGCATTCAGTACCTAGAGAATTGGAAGTATTTAGTGTTTGGATCTCAGACTGTGGCTTCAGAAACATAATTTGCCTGTTCACTCTCAATAAATCATCTCACAGAGTCAGGCACTCATCAGCCTGAGTTACAGACACTGGCTTATAATGCTTGAATGCTAACCTATTACAGTGTAATGAGAAATTGCTGCCATGAGAATGTGACATTCATGTCTTGTGTTCATGGAATCTTTTATGTAGGTAAGCTGTACTTAAACCAAAAAGTAATCAAATGAAATTTTCAGTGTTAACTTCTAGTTCAGCTTAAGCTACTTGGATATATCTACCTATGTTCACCATGCTATGTCCCTCCTACAGATTGTTCTTATATAAACATGGAAATATTTGCCTTTCTGATCAGTCCCATTTGGATTTCATACCCTCTTGAGATATTTAGATAAATACCTAAGATCGTGTCTTGATGGCCAAAAAAATTTCTGTATTTGTAATATGAGTTTTCATAGATCTTTTTGGATTCATTATTTGTTGATTATAGCCTAACTTTGAGAACAGTCTTATTTCCTCTTTGTCCAGATTTTCTTTTGTATGAATCTATCTCAGTGTTATTGCCAGATATAATATATGCCTTTCAGTCAATATTTTTCAAAATGATACATCTTTACTCTTGCATTTTCTTGATGGAGAAATACTTGGAAGATAAATTCTGAAAAGCTCTTCTTTTACATGTCCATTGTACATTCATCCGTTCATTGTTTTAGGAAGCATTTATTAAACATTTTGACTATGCTCCAGAGATATGGAGATACCCTGGAGTAGCTCTTACATGAAGAACATTCTGTCTGTACTACTGCAGTGGCTTGGTAACTGCTCTATGTATTTATATTAATATATTTTAAGTTGTCTTCCTATAAAATACATGCACAATAATAACAACCATAATTTTTACTGATTATCAAATTTGTTGTGAAAGTAAGCTCAAAAGCTTTTTTGTGGAAGCTTTCTGGGGAAGCAGATAACTGAGTATTTTGGAATCACTGAATAATATCATCTGGTAAGAGATGGAGCAAAACTTTGCTAGAGTTTATAAAATGCCAGGAATATGGTCATAGCAGAAAAAAAAAAAAGAAAATTAAGGAGAAGATGACTGATCTTTATATTCTTTATGTGTTTGCTTTTTTTATAAAGCAGTTTATTAGTTTTCATTGGTATAAACATAACTAAAATGTTTTGTGTTTAGCAACTAAATTGATCTTGAGTTTTGCCTTGCAGGTGGATTGGACTCTAAATATTGGAGAGCAAGCCCTTGATATATGTATTGTCTCTTTCAATCAGTCAGCATCTTCTGTTTTTGTTCTTGGTGAAAGAAACTTTTTTTGCCTTAAGGAAAATGGACAAATTCGATTTATGAAGAAGCTTGAGTGTAGCCCAAGTTGTTTTCTCCCATATTGCTCAGGTATGTAGATTTTCTTTCATCTCTTCCATATGTCAAGACTATGTTATGTATGTCAGAAAAAGCCACACTAATACACATATTTTAAACATACAGCAAATAGTTTTATACTGAACATGTGATGGAAATTTTAACTTTAAAAGTTTGAATAGAACTTTGAAATAAAGCACACATTTCATTTTGTCAGTCGTTTTTCTTTGTACAAAATGACTTGTAATATTGACTTCCAGCATACATTAATGCTTTCCATAATGTGATTGTTCAAGGTGCTTCCAAGAGAACATCAGGGTCTTTTATGAGCAGAATAGTAATGTGTAATAGAATGACTTATCTGTAGTGAATGCCCAGTAAATTGTTTGCTTAAAAGTGTTACATATTAATGAGATTCATCCTTTCTAGAGGAAATGCAAAAATGATGGCCATTATCTAGTTATAGTTTCCAAGTCTGTAAAATGTTTCTTTCTTGTATTGGTAACTTGAAATTTGGAAGTAATGTTTTATTACTTGAAATCTTTATGCATTAAAATCAAGATATTAGAATTAGAATTTGTGTCATAAATCCTCCAAAAAAGATATAATATAATGTTGTAAATGACTGTTTTCTTAGTATCCTCTTTCTTTGTCTTCAACCTACAGTTTCTGAAGGAACAATAAATACTTTGATTGGAAACCATAATAATATGTTGCATATTTATCAGGATGTGACACTGAAGTGGGCCACTCAACTTCCCCACATTCCTGTGGCAGTTAGAGTGGGCTGTTTGCAGTAAGTGATTTAATTTAACATAGTTTTATTAGAGGACCTTAGCCAAGGAATTCTCTAGAAATTTTATGAAATACTGGCAAATGATTTTATTGAAACATGACAACTGACATTGACAAGTGAATGTCAATAATAGAAATAATATAAAATATAACTTCAATTGGAAAGGTTATAAAATCCTTAATTAGCACCATTAATAATTTTCATTTAATATTTCTAACAAGATAGTCTTAGTAAATTAAAGATTAAAGCTGTTGAAGAAATCAAGAAAATGGTTTACTTGATAGATTATTTTCTTAAAATATGAAACGATTACTTTTAACATTTGATGGGTCTCATTTAGAGATCATTTATTGATAGACTGTGAGAATATTACACTTGTTCATGATGAGGTCTGACCTTGTATCAAGTAATGCAGAGTTGCTTATGATCATGTGTTTAAGCAGGTTAGATTTTAAGTAGGGCTATGCTACATTTAAAATGAAAAACAAAATCCATATCTTAACATTTAATTTATCAATAATGAGAGAAATGAGCCATTTAATGATTAATTTTTCTAGTTCACAGTGTATAGGGTAAGATTCTGACAAATTTTTAGCATCTCAGATTATCTCTAGGAATTGAAAATATCAGCAAAATGTATAGAAACTTTTTTATAAAGCTTCATAAATTCCCAGATCTATTCAGTTTTATTTATTTAGAATATTTTATTGCACATTTAAAAACCACAAGTACAATTTGTCAGTGACACCTACATAGTATCTGATCAGGATGAATTATCCTCCTAAATTAAGGGGTTGAGTATGATATTATTGTTGAAGCTCAATTCATATTTGCATTAATAGTTTATCAAAATTCTGAATATTGAAAAAATGAAAACTGTTTTGAAAACATTGAATATTTTAAAACAGTTACTTCTTTTTTTATGAGATTAGACTATCATGTAATTATAATTGCTGTGCACTTAGCACAAATTATAGTTGTTTTTTATCTGAAAAATGATGAGAGTGGCTTTTGCAATGTCCACCAGATGGTCTTTTTAAGTTCAACCAAACATTCAGACTCACCAGACATTTTGCATCAGATTTACTTACAAGGATTTAGAACAGGAAAAACATCTTGCCAGCAGGGCAACGTCAAGTATTTTTCTTCTGGAAGAGTTATTCTTGTAGTGGTCCATATGTCTATCCAAGAGCCGTTCTCTTTGGCCCCCTAAGTGACAGTTCAGGTGCAAGAAGACAGATCTACATTGGTGGGTATGTGGCCCATCTTGGTTTATAATTTCCATGCCCCTCAGGAGCCAATATCTTCAAATACTTAAAAATCATTGTTTTTTTTTGTGTGTGTGTGTGTATTTTGAGCATAGGAGAGTGATGGGTAGAGGGACCTTATTAGAACATTTAGTTGAAATACTTTTTTACACATACACTCGGTACAAGGAATGTACCCATTTCAAGAGTCACTATATTCAGGGAAGTGCAAAGGTAGTTTCTAAAAAGTAATTTATTGTTAATATATAGGTTTTTTTTTAATGTTGCAACTTACAGGTTAAGAGTTCAATAATAGCTGAAATTATGATGAGTAAAAATCCAAATTTTCATATAGTGTGTATTATGATGCTCATGTTCAAAAGTAGTGTTATATTTTATTATAGATACTTGTGAGTGAAGCTTCCTATTTCTCATAGTCTTTTCAAGATTACAATTATAAACAGTAAGTGCAAATATTGGTACTAGTATTTTCCACAGTTAACATATAACAAATTCTAATTATTCAACTGAAAATTTTCTTATTTTTTATATACCTTAACAGAAAGGATAGGATTAGACTGTGTTTGGAAGAATTCCATTGTAATTCTTATTAGAATTTTAAAGGTAATTTTTATGAACTTAGCTGTGGTATATTTATATTCAGAAGTTATTATTTGAAACTGTAAGTGCTGAAATAATTTTTTCTTGCTTTTTATTACATTTTGGGTTTAACCTTTTTTGGTAGAAACTTCCTTGTCTGAATGTGTTTATTTATAACGGAGATTGCTTCTATTATAATATGTTTCTTTTCAGTGAATAAGAAATACTGGATTTGGATTGAATTGATGTGAATATGCATTTTACTCCACACCCACCTACTTGGCAGTCTTAGTTCACTCTACCTTGTTTATTATATACACTGATTCTAAATCTGTTTCCTTCTTCCTTTTCAGGGTACATCTCATTCCTGATTAGATGGTATTCGTTATTTAGTTATTTAATTTTTGTGGGTTAAGCTATGGGAAGATAAAAATCAGTGTATATGTTAAGGAATCAGAAGAGCCTTCCTGTAATAGTCTTTAAATTATTAGGTATTGCAGTTTTCTTCTCATTGCATGAAGTAGCTATGGAAGCTTCGCTAGGCATCTTACCTTTGCCATGGTCAGTTTCCAAAATGGCAAATAAAGATCATTTATCAGTAACGTTATTCTCCCTAGAGATATCAAATATACCTGAAATGGAAGTGTATTTGAATGAAAGTTCAAAGTGATGAGAACCTTTCCAAACTTTAGCTGGCAGCCTGCAGCCACAGTGCTTTAAAATATTATTGCTGCTAATTTTTTAGTATAAACAATTTGGTCTAGTACTTCAATGTTTTTCTTTGTAGGCTGTGTCTACAATAGTCACTTATTTTAACTTTGGTATTTAACATTTTATTCTTTAACTTTCATTAATATAGTATTCTTGACCAGAATGTTTTACCCATTTCTTTGGATTTTCAAATTTTTTCTATCTTTGAGACCCAGCTCGAGTCACATAAATTAACCACCCTCCTTACCATGGTCTTCTTTTTCTCTGAATTTCTATCACATTTATAATTAAGTTGGTGACTGCTGTTTGATTTTCCTAATTCCCCCACTAGATCTTACACTCCTTTTCTACTTTTGTATATCACACTGAATGATCAGTGAGAAAACTGAACATATGGCATATACTTGATAAATATTTAAAAGTCCTTGTAGTTTGTGTGTGTATGTCAGGCAAAGGGGTGTGGCTAAAAAGAACTTACAAGATCTTTTCATTGAAAAACCTGTTTTAAATGTTAAAAAAAAAAAAAATGACCAGGCATGGTGGCTCCCGCCTATAATGGCCAGCACTTTGGATCCATTGAGCCCAGGAGTTTAAGACCAGCCTAGGAAGCATAGTAAGACCTTGTCTCTATAAAAATTTTAAAAAATGAGCCGAGTGTGGTAGTGTGTGCATATAGTCCCAGCTACTTGGGAGACTGAGGTGGGAGGATTGCCTGATCCCAGGAGATCAAGGATTCCATGAGCCATGATGGTGCCACTGCACTCCTGCCTGGGTGACAGAATGGAAACCTGACGTAAAAAAAAAAAAAAAAGTAAAAAACCCTGAGGAATTAATAGAATATTTAAAATTTCAAAATCACTTTTTTTACCTTTTTAGTTTAACTTTAGCTGTTAATTTGTCTTTTTTTTGCATTATAGAAAGAGAGTGTGAGCCTATATATTTTTTGCTAGGTTGTATTTTTAAGAACTTTCTTTGTGACTTAATATTCCACATAAAATTTTTAAATATTCCTGGAATTTGATAAAGTTTAAATTCTTAATTTTAGAACTTTTGCATTTTATTGATATTTTTCTCTATTTGTTATATTTCAAGAATAGAATGCTGGTCTTTATTTTTCTGCTTAATAAGCATTTTTGGTTTATGTTTTTGGTTTACATGTTCTTGTTCTGTTATTCAACTTATATTTGTGATAGTTATTTTACTTTTTTTGGTGAGTTTTAAGAGTTTATCACGGGCCATTGCCTTGCCAGAGACTCTGGTGTGGCCATGTGCTCCTTTGAGCTCTGGCTGTCACCATGCCTCCTGGCTTTGGTCCCCTCCTCCACCTTGGGGAGGTGAATCTTCTCTCTCCCTTCTCTTTCTCTCTCTAATTTACTTTTAAATAAATTTTTCTTAAAAAAAAAAGAGTTTATCACTATAAAGTAACATTTTTGGGATTCCCATTTAGTGTTTTTTTAAAAAATGTGTTTGTTGGCTTCTTTTAAAATTTGTTTTCAGTTCACTTTGTTGTTAGTTGTTGGTATACTGTTGTCTATGTGTTTTCTTTTAACCTATCACTTTATTTTGACTGTCTCTTGTAAAAACAATTTGGTTGATTTTTTAAACTCATTTTGAAGATAATTGTCTTTTAATTAAAAGAGCCCATTTACTGTTGTTATAGTTAATATATTTGGTCATTTTGCATCTTTTACACTACTGTTTACATTTTATGCTTTAAAAAAAATTTTTATCTCTTGTATGTGAGTTAGGGTTTCTCTGTATTTAACATTTATTAACATTATTATTTAACATTATATTATCCAGTGAATGGGATGGTACACAGACATATATATATGTGTCTTTACTTCTTTTTTCCTTTTTTTTTTTTGAGAAAACAGAAAGCAGGATTTATTGAGAGGACAGAAAAGCTCCCACTTTGGGAGGGGACTCAAGGGTGTGGCCCTTATCTTTATTTCTATTAGTATTTAATTCTCAGTTTTGCCATAATCCACGGTGAGCCGAATCTTTCTCCTCATGATAGACAAGGTGTATAATACATTTTTTGTCTCCTTTCCTTTTTCTGCCACACACAGACATGGATATATATATTACTTGTGCTTGCACATATTCACTCCCCCATATTCTCTTCCCTCCCACTGTTATTGTTTGTTCTTTGCTATAGTATCATAGGTTTTGTGTATAAACTCTATACTTTTTAAAGAGTTCTAAAATTTGTACTCATTTTAATCTATACATAAAGTAGTTTTTATATTTATGTTTCTGTATTTATTGAAGATTGCGAACTTTTTATATTCTACTTTTTTAGCTTAGTAATTTTGCTTTTTCTCACTATAAGTTGATTTAATATAAAACCTAGGAATGATATATATCATATGGTTAAAATGTACTGTCACATTTTTTCCCTTCAGAATTTATTGATACAGCATACTTGTTTTTAAAATA